GGCAGAGCCTTCTGTCCTGACGTGCTCCGTTTGGTGCCCGTTGAAGTGAAGGCCACTCGTTTAGATGGTGCTGAGAAGAGAGTCAATAACGTCATAGATAATCTCAGTGGCTGTTACAGAGAGACCTCTTTACTTGGAGTGTGTATATCTCTCTTCTTCTTTTTTTAATCCCCAGAGGGATATTTTTTTATTTTGCAAATACTACAAAAACTACAAAGAAATATTAGGGAAGGGACTACAACTAAGGATAAAGGAAAGCAAACCACACTAAACTAAAACCCCAAGAGGAGGAGATCTTTTCACTGTTAGTAAAAATGTTAGTACAATTAGTTTTAATATCACAATATACTTGCAGAGTTCTTGCTCATTACAATTCGTTATTTATATGTTATTTTGTTAGTTGTTATGAGAGAAGTCTCTGATCATCTTCTTCTTCTTCGCTTCAGAAGGCCATTTTCCAAGTCCTTCTGCCTTTACTTCGGCTTTCTGTCTCTAAAATCGTATACCACTCTGACAGGTCCAGCACCCTTTTCTGCCGCAGAATCCTCATCCGTTCCCGAGGTAGCAGAGTCACTAGACTTCGTTTCTTCCTCTTTGGACTCTTTGTCTGTCCCCGAGTGTGTATATCTCCAGTCAGTAGCTGCCTGTCACTTGCAGCTGATGAACTTCCACTATTCGTTGTCCTGTGTGGGAGGCTGGGGGCTGGTTCAGACAGTAATTTGAAAACCCCTTTCCTGTTGTCCTTCTCGCACTTGATCTGCTCCTATTTCAGTACATGGCTCTGCGTTCTTCCCTACAGTGAAATCTCTTTCGAGCTCATCCTCCCTGTCTTCCTTCATCTTGCCAAATGAGTTGGGTCATGATGATGCTTGTCATGCTGGTTTTCTCTCTGTGTCTGTCTTTCCTAGTGGACGGGAGGCAAATCGCTGCCAATATGCGGGGGATTGGAATGATGCCAAACGATCCCCGAGTGGAAGAAACATGCTTTCGGGGGCAACAAAGCCTCTTATGGCAAAAAGACTCAGCTGTCAATCATTGAGCAGCGGGAAAGCCTCCCGATTTTTCGGCTAAAGGATCAGCTTATCCAGGTGAGAGAGAAAGATCAGCCTCTCGCGGCTGGACCAAGGAGCCACCTAGCCTAGCACCCCATCCTGCTGATTCCGGTAGCCTGGTTGGCACAGCAGACGTCACCAGTAGGCCAGAGTCCAGAAGGGGCATCTCTCCTGTGATTTCCACCTTTGGCTCCTGAGACTCCCAAGTCGTCTTCTGGTGGAGGGATTTCTTTCTCCTTCGGAGGAAGACTCAGCAAAGGGAGTCATAAGATTCAGCCCACCATCCGTTTCCTTTTGTAAGAGCTTGAAGACCACCCCGGGGGGGGGGGCGTTAGGTGAACGGAGGGAGGAAGCCAAACGGGCATTTGGGCCTGGGACAGCTGACCCAACCTCTGATCCCTGGAAGGGCCAGCCAGGGCTCCTCCTGTTTGAGTGTTTTTGCTAATGGGCTTTCAGGTATTTTTCCGTCAGGGACAATAAATGTTTTAAGAAATAGTTTGAAAATCCAATATGCTTGGGATTCTGCAGGAGCTCTGAGAAGTCAAGTCAAGTCAACCTTTATTGGCATAAATTATCAGTACCATTTATACATTTTAAAACCAGTTAAAACTCATATATACAATCCTAGAAGAACCTTTGGCGCAGCTTTAAAGCCAAGCAGAGAAACTTAGCCACCTTCTCTGTGATGTCCGGACTGAAATCTCTTAAAAGTCTATTCACCTTAAGTGCATCAGAGCAAGCACCCATGCTGGTTAAAAGAGAGTGTTAAGTAAGTGATCCTTAGGTCCATATACAAATTGCAGTGCAGGAGAACATGAGTGATAGAGCTTAAACTCTGAGAATTCATTACAGGCCAGATGTGGACTGTCACACCTTTATATGTGCCCAGACTTGTAGGCCCAGCCCTGTGTTTAGCCCATCCTCTCCAGCATAGGGGGTATTCATTTGCACGACCCGCTGGCCCGGGCCAAGGATGGAACCGAGCAGCCCAGGAGTATAGCTTGGCCGGGGTTCATTGGTTAGGGTCTGGAGCCAATACAACCCATTCACAAAATCTGCCACAAGCTAGAAAATACAAATTACAAAAGTGTGTTGGGCAAACCATCGACTACAAACAAGGCAAGTTAAATAGTCTTATATGTTGTGCATATACATATATGCAGATGTACAGATTCTAAGTTAAGGAATTGAGTATTTATGCCTACATCCCAATTTACTGTTGAAGTCTGAAGCATAGCGATAAGTGACGAATCCAAGGCTACTGAATGACTCGACGTCAGAGGAGTCTTCAGTAGAGACAGCCTCTTCATACAGCACTCTCTTGCTTCACGTCACAGACCAGAGACATTATCACAGTGGGCACAGGATGCAAATGCACCCAAGTCTTTTTTTTTCTCCTTGGGGAGGGCTGAAGATCAGAGAAGCGGTTTGCCAAAGATAGTTGCATTCAGCTGCAAACTCTACTCCGTGTTGTGTAGTTTAAAATGGAACTAGGTGAGGTTGTGACACTTGTGGTATCAGTTACTGGTGGTTGGTCTTAAAGATCTCTGGCCCAGCATGCATCCTGTACTCCATAGTCCGGGGCGGGGGGGGAGACACCCTTATCTAATAAAAGGAGCAGGATTTGTTCTCACCCAGGAGCAGGGAGCGTAGGTCTCGTGTGGTGAGGTTAGAATGGAGGAGTGGAGAATTACGTGAGCCACTTTGGGTCCCCGTTGGGGAGAAAGTCGAGAAACAAATGAAATAAGTAAATGAACAATCTCTCTGAACTGCCCCACTCCCTCTGGGGGCCAGACTGCCCGGGTCCTGTACAATTTGGTGCTGCCGCCGGGTGCTTTGCTGCGTCCGTTCAGTCTGCCCAAGGGCCGTGCGCCCCAGTCCTTCTGCTCCCCACAGCAGCGCACGAGGTGCATGACATCCGCACTCCTCCCCCACTGTGATTCCCAGGATCTGGTTTTCAGAGGTTTGCTGTCTTTGTACACATCGTCCAGGTGCACCTTAAAGACGAACAGAATTTGCGGGAGGGGAGGAGCTTTTGTGACTCACGAGAGCTCCTCCCCTGCCACAAAGGTGCTAACTGGATTCTTGCTGTTTTCTGCTGCTGTGGACAGGTTATGACGGGGGTACCCGTCTTGATCTTTGTACACACAGGTTGTATTAGGTTCTAGGGGCCATCCTTGGGGAACTTGTCTAATTCCTTTTTAAAAACCATCTGAGCAACTGACTTTACTTATGGACCGTAGCAACTGAGTCCTGTTCTGAGAGAAAAGCAATCCGTAAATTCTGAAAGTAAAACTATAACTGGGATGTTTGGCAACATAATCATCAGCTTGTGGGATAGTTGGATCACCCCTGTTTCCTGCCAGATGGTAGTATCTGGTGTGTATGTGGGTGCGTTCAGACGGCGTGGCAGAGCGGTTTAAACTGCTCCGGTTCCAACAGTAATTTGATCCGGGGACAAGCGCGGTCACACGTACCTGTCTCACCGCGCAGCACATCGCTCCCGGGCATCCACACTGTCCACAAACTTCAGGTGCGCAGTGGCGTTTCCCCCACACACACACAGTTTGCACATGTGCACATGTGCATAGGCAATCTTTCATATAATTGAGATCCTTGCGCATGCGCAGAACACTGTATCCTGAAAAGCATGCCCTGAAGCGAAGACTTCCCTTTAAACTTGAACACCGAGCCTTAAACTAGGCACCGGTTTTTTTTTTCCATTTTATTAACGTCGGGGCGAAGCTTCACCCAAACGCATATCGCCAAGGCTAAAAATAAAATGGAGGACGAGACGCAATCACATGGCAGGAGAATGCGGCTACAACCAGAGCACCAGGAAAACACCACTTTGGGACCTGGTAGCAGAATACTCCGGTTTAAAGGGGGTTTGCAATGGACAGGAGGCAGATGTGCGTGTGATCGCGCATAAGTAGTCCGTTTCTAACCGGCATGTATACCAGCTTAAATGGCCCGTCTGAATGCACCCTGTGCGTGTAGGCTTGCGTACATGCCCAAACATTGCGTTTTGTTAAAAGCTTTCGATGGAGTAGCCTCTTGGACAGGTGTGAGCCCATTATTTATCCGTAGCACAATGAAAACACTTGGGGGCATCGCAGCAAAATGCTAGCAACTTGATTTAAAAAACGGACAAACTAAAATCCAGTTTTGCAGCATTAAAGAAGCAGATTATGGTTCGATTCGCTAGGTCATTTTCCTCTTTGACATAGTAGCAGCTGGAAAGTATTTGGACATAATAACTGATTAACTGGAAGGTGAATTTGCACCAGCCTGTTTCAGTGCCTTTTCCCTTTCCAGGCGGTCCATGATAACCAGATACTGATCGTCATTGGAGAGACCGGCTCCGGGAAGACGACTCAGATCACCCAGTACCTGGCTGAGGCTGGCTACACCTCCCGTGGGAAGATTGGGTGCACCCAGCCACGTCGTGTGGCTGCCATGTCTGTGGCCAAGAGGGTCTCTGAGGAGTTTGGCTGTTGTTTGGGGCAGGAGGTAAGAGGTGGCTCCGGGGTGGGTGGAGGAAGCTCTTTCAGTACAGGAAACTTGACCCAGGACAGTAGCTGTGCATGCTGCTTTCCCCCAAACGAAAGGAGCAGGGAACTTTGTGATGGATGGGGGCCGTGTTGCTGACCGGAGGTTGGCCGGGGCTCACCCCAAAAGCATTTACAGTACATTATCTCCTGCACTCTCCTCCTTGCTCATGTAGCCATCGGCAGGGCTATTTTTGGGCAGGAACGCACAGGAACGGAGCTCTGGCTGGCTCCTGAGTTGGCCACACCCAGCAGGAACTCATTAGCATAATAGGCCACACCCAACAGCAGAAACTCATTCGGATTGGCTACATTAGGGGTGTGTGGCCTAACATGCAAAGGAGTCCCTGCTACAAAAAAAGGCCCTGGGTTTTGACCACAAACAGGGTAAACAGAATAAGAAGCAAAAGGTGGGTGTGGCTGGATGACCACACTTCTGGCAACACGGGGCTGTGGTCTGGTATGCTAATGAGCTGTGGTGTCAGGGTGTGGCCTAATAGGTTAATGAGTTTCAGCTGTTGGGTGTGGCCTATTATGCTAATGAGTTCCTGCTGGACTTTTTCTACAAAAAGCGGCACGTGTTTTCTCACGCCCCTCAGGTTAATCTTTGCCCCATTCATTGACACGTGGAACAAGTTGCCTTTCTCATCAGCACCTGCCTGTTGAGAAAGGCTCAAAATCCTTCCTTCAGATGCTGCAGGCAGCTGAAGTTCATTCATCTGTGCTGCTTTTACTAGTCTGGGTAGGGAGCAGGGGGGAAACTTCGACATCTCTGTACCATTGGAACAAAGTTTGGGTGCCTGCACACGAAAGCTTATGCCCAATATTAACGTCGGGGCGAAGCTTCACCCAAACGCATATCGCCAAGGCAAAAATAAAATGGTGGATGAAAAGCGGAAGCCTTGGGCTTCCAGCAGAAGTGGCTCTACACTGTCAGAGGTGCAATCACACAGAAGGAAAATGCGGCTACAACCGGAGCACCAGGAAAACACCACTTGGGGACCTGGTGGCAGAATACTCCGGTTTAAAGGGGGTTTGCAATGGTTGGCGACGGCTAGGGACAGGAGGCAGATGTTGTGCATGTGATCGCGCATAAGTAGTCCGTTTCTAACCGGCATGTATACCGGCTTAAATGGCCCGTCTGAACGCACCCTGTGCGTGTAGGTTTGCGTACATGCCCAAACATTGTGTTTTGTTAAAAGCTTTCGATGGACAGGTGTGAGCTCATTATTTATCCGTGGCACAATGAAAACAGTTGGGGGCTATGTTCCCTCTAATCTGTGGAGTCTTGTGAGCAAAAATTCTATTTTGTGAGCCCCTGGCATTAAAGCGATTTGGCTGCTGCATCAATTAGTTTGCTCTGGAGCCCTCCTTCCTGAGCCGAGACAAAAATGTGTGAGCCGGAGGCTAGAAAACTGTGAGCTAGCTCACACTAACTCAGCTTAGAGGGAACACTGGTTGGGGGCATCGCAGCAAAATGCTAGCAACTTGATTTTAAAAAACGGACAAACTAAAATCCAGTTTTGCAGCATTAAAGAAGCAGATTATGGTTCGATTCGCTGGGTCATTTTCCTCTTTGACATCGTAGTAGCTGGAAAGTATTTGGACGTAATAACTGATTAGCGGGAAGGTGAATTGCATCCTCTTTTGCCACCAGCCTGTTTCAGTGCCCTTTTCCCTTTCCAGGCGGTCCATGACAACCAGATACTGATCGTCATTGGAGAGACTGGCTCCGGGAAGACGACCCAGATCACCCAGTACCTGGCTGAGGCTGGCTACACCTCCCGTGGGAAGATTGGGTGCACCCAGCCACGTCGTGTGGCTGCCATGTCTGTGGCCAAGAGGGTCTCTGAGGAGTTTGGCTGTTGTTTGGGGCAGGAGGTAAGAGGTGGCTCCGGGGTGGGTGGAGGAAGCTCTTTCAGTACAGGAAACTTGACCCAGGACAGTAGCTGTGCATGCTGCTTTCCCCCAAATGAAAGGAGCAGAGAACTGTGTGACGGATCGGGGCCGTGTTGCTGACCTGAGGTTGGCCAGGGCTCACCCCAAAGCATTCACGGTACGTTATCTCCTGCACTCTCCTCCTTGCTCATGTAGCCATTGGCAGGGCTGTTTTTGGGCAGGAATGGAGTTCCGGCTGGCTTCTGAGTTGGCCACGCCCAGCAGGAGCTCATTAGCATAACAGGCCACACCCAACAGCAGAAACTCATTAGGATTGGCTACATTAGGGGTGTGTGGCCTAACATGCAAAGGAGTTCCTGCTACAAAAAAAGGCCCTGGGTTTTGACAACAAACAGGGTAAACAGAATAAGAAGCAAAAGGTGGGTGTGGCTGGATGACCACACTTCTGGCAAACAGGGGCTGCGGGCTAGTATGCTAATGAGCTGTGGTGTCAGGGTGTGTCCTAATAGGCTAATGAGTTTCAGCTGTTGGGTGTGGCCTATTATGCTAATGAGTTCCTGCTGGGCTTTTTCTACAAAAAAAGCCCTGGCCATCGGCACATGTTTTCTCATGCTCTCAGGTTAATCTCTGCCCCATTCATTGACACTTGGAACAAGTTGCCTTTCTCATCAGCACCTGCCTGTTGAGAAAGGCTCAAAACCCTTCCTTCAGGTGCTGCAGGTGGCTGAAGTTCATTAATCTGTGCTGCCTTTACTGGTCTGGGTAGGGAGCAGGGGGGGAAACTCCGACGTCTCTGTACCGTTGGAACAAAGTTTGAGTGCCTGCACACGAAAGCTTATGCCCAGATTTGAACTTTGTTGGTTTTAAAGGAGCCACCGGACTCAAACTTTGTTCTGTTGTTTCAGACCAACACGGCTACCCACCTGAATTCTCTATACCATTACGTTGTCGAAGACTTTCATGGCTGGAATTCATTAGTTGTTGTAGATTTTTTCGGGCTGTATAGCCATGGTCTTGACATTGTAGTACCTGACGTTTCGCCAGCAGCTGGACTGGCATCCTATACCATTGTTCTCTTGAAATCTTTTCTCTGCCTAGAGGGCTGCTTGCCTCCAAGGCATTAAAAATTTACAAACAAAACAGCATTCGGCATCATGGGAACATGAATTTTGCATCCCGTGTAAATTATATTTTCCCGTAGGTTGGTTTTGTGTAACTGACCCTGCTTCTGCTAGTCATGCCGTGCAGGGATGCTTGGACAAATCTGAGGTCCATTTGCAGCTTCTGCTAGTCATGCCGTGCAGGGATGCTTGGACAAATCTGAGGTCCATTTGCAGCTTCTGCTAGTCATGCCATGCAGGGATGCTTGGACAAATCTGAGGTCCATTTGCAGCTTCTGCTAGTCATGCCGTGCAGGGATGCTTGGACAAATCTGAGGTCCATTTGCAGGTTCTGCTAGTCATGCCGTGCAGGGAGGCTTGGACAAATCTGAGGTCCATTTGCAGGTTCCTCCCCTTCAGGACTGCCTTCCCAGCCTCAGCAGCTAGAACCCTGCAGTCTTGTACGGACAATGGAGAGAGGCAGCTTTCTGACTGATGCAGCCCCTACCATTGTCTGCACTCACCTGCATGAAATCCACACTGCCCGGTTTGTCTCCTCTGCGTGACACAGATGGTAGAGACGTGGACAGGCTGGGAGACCTGTTGGGGACATCCACCTGAGACCAGATGGAAGTGGGCTGGGTAGGGGGTTGTAGGCTTGGTGTACAGGCCAGAGGGTCCCTGTCTTTGCGGTGAACTGGCATCCTACACCATTGTTCTCTTAAAATCTTTTCTCTGCCTAGAGGGCTGCTTGCCTCCAAGGAATTAAAAATTTACAAACAAAACAGCATTCTGCATTATGGGAACATGAATTTTGCAAGATGTGCTTGTGACATTGGTTGGTAGGTTGGTTTTGTGTAACTGACCCTGCTTCTGCTCAGTTCTCTGTAATCAATGCTGCTTTTATTCCTCCCCCCCCCTTATCCGCCCCCACCGGCAGGTTGGCTACACCATCCGATTTGAGGACTGCACAAGCCCTGAGACGGTGATCAAGTACATGACGGATGGGATGTTGCTGCGGGAGTGCCTCATCGACCCAGACCTCACTCAATATGCAATCATCATGTTGGACGAAGCCCACGAGCGGACCATACACACGGATGTGCTCTTCGGTCTCCTGAAGAAGGTCAGAGCTCTTTCAGCCCCTCCCGTGCCGGTGTGACGGATGGGCCGAGGTCCTCGTCCTCCCCCCCCCC